GCGGCGAGCGAGGGCCTGGGCGGCGATCCTGTGGCTTGAGGGTGATCTCAGGTGGGAGCGTATCCTCAGGACGTCGAGGCGGACGACGGCGATGTGCAGCAGGTAGAGCAAAGAGAGGGACCAGAGGGCGATCAGGGTGTAGATGAAATTGGAGCGTATTTCAAACAAATATGCTGGAATTAACTTATGTACTAGGTTGTATAGCACATTGCCTTCTAATTACAATGCCTAATGCTGTGCAAAAGTCTTTGCACGTTCTCTTCTGACCTTCCGTCTTGCTTTCACCACTTAGGTTCCATGGGCTCCCAAGAGTGAAGCCATATGTATACAGTGTCGGATGGGTGTTTTGACATTGACGATGGAATGGCATTTTTCGTCGTGATTTTTGCCTTCGAGTTTCTTGAGCTCAGGTTCCTCAGCTTCGTATGCTAATTTCACTGCACAATTATCAGCACAGCATTTCTGGTAGCATCTGCTGTTCGGCTTGCCGCATTTAGCACAGCAGTCATCATACAATTTCTTAAGTAAATCATAGAAAGTCTCTGTCATATATACTATCCAAGAGAGGTAACGGCCAGCGTGTTTTCCGTGAAACATGGAATGGACATCTGATGACAGTGGCTGTAGGTATTGGCCACAGGGCATGTTTGGTTTTGAATTAAGGTTACAATATAAAAGGCCGAATAGGTCCCCCATGTTATGTTTACTATTAGAGTGCGTACTGCTACATAAGATAGTAGTTGGATCTAAGCCAACGTAAGGACGTCCAAAGTTGGCAGCGGTGACGGCATTTTGAAATGCTTCCTGCTTATGCTCCTTGGCAGTTTTTTTATCACCATCATAATGTCCGCCCCAATGCTCAAGGAAGTTATAATAAAATGCAAACATGTCACCAAGAGTCTGAGGAGGCCTACGAATAAGACACGTGAAGAAAGCGCAGAGCATAGTGAGTGGTTCCCTTGCTGAACTACAGAAAGGTTGAAGAAGAGATTTCAGATGGGCACCCGTTTTTGTATGCGACGCTGCAATACCAATATCGGTGAAGCCCATCGGTGTGATACATGGAATACCTCTGTGATCACGCACTGAACATGTTAACTTACAACTGGGCAAAGTGAATGTATGTGGGAGGAAGCCTGGAAGACCGTCTTCCAAATATGCTTGGAGGAGATTTTTTACAGCACTTAGGGTGTTGTTCACACGTTTGGTTAGCTATTTGGTTGGCACTTTGGTCACCCTGTTGGCCAGGGCATTGGAGCTTATTACAGCTCCAGTTGGACCCACCGACGTGCCTGCCGTAATGGCAATCACGCCAGCCGCTACTATCAGGACCATTGCAGCACTGTGTATATAGGAAATGAAGTTGGTAATTAAGTCTTAAACATATATCTACGAGCATATCAAAACATTTACTGATGTCATTAGGATATTCCAAATTGTCTGGGTTGGTATAAAATTCGCAGGCATAACGGCCGTCAGCATGGCCATGGCCTACGAAAGCACGTAATATTTCATATGAGCGCAGGGTTACAGTGTTGAATAAGTCTTTAATGTTTTTAATGCTGACGGTTGCTTTCATCGTCCAGGCGTCCCTATATGGCGCGGCGACGTCAAACGAATCGCTTGATAATTTATAGTCATTAGTTGATGCCTTAAACCATGTGTCGAAGTGCAATCGCAATTCATTGTACATCCTATTCCAATACAACCCAGCAAGCCAATGAAGCATCTGGCAGACTGTTGTCGGAGGCTTTGCGTTGGGAACATGCTTAAGGTGGCAGACGTAGCGGTACTTGTCGAACATAGTGTAATGGACTTTAATAATCTTATCAACTTCTACACCATTCTTAGTCGAGAAATATTTTTCCACAAGGTTTTTGGATTCACCGGCTATATAGGTGATTTTCTGGCTGAATAATTTACAAATATTCTCACCATTATGATGTCTGTCCAGCTGACCATTTTGCTTATCGGCAGAGTCGGACACGATGTATCCACACTCTTTGAGAAAAGCGCCAAGTTTGGTAGTTGAGATAATATTATCATTTTTCCAACCACCGAGAGAACTATGCTTCAAAGTATACATGTCGCGATCTAAGATATCCACTATGGTCAGGCAGACCTTGGCGCAGTTGCGGCCCTCGGTGGAAAGGACTTGTTCGGTGTCACCGTCCGATTTAGTCTCTACCAGTTTACCTAAAGGTAAGCCGGAGTATTTATTTACGTACGCGTGGGAGAGTTGCTCGGTGAATTTTCTCATGCCGGACTTGAGTGCGTCGAGGAGGAGCGGGTTTTGGAAGCCGTGGAAGTTGGGGGATGTTAAGTCGCTAACGGATTTCTTGAGTTTATCGAGCAATTCATTAGATGTATGATCGAAGTTATACGGCCTACTTAAATTACCAGATGTGTTACGTTTAAGATAGTTAAGTAAGTAGTCTAGTTTGCCTTGAATATCGTGGACGTTATCGGATTGTGGATTAGACTCCGGATCCTGAGAGGGATCTTTATTCGGCGTTTTTACTTGTCCTTCGATGTAAACGAGAACTTTATCAGCATATTTCTCAAATCTTGTGGATAAGTCTTTGAACTTACCGGAATGATCCTTCGCTGTCAGAGTTGGCTGAGTTGGCGTAGGAACAATTTTTTGAATTTCTCCCAAAGAATATTCACCTGTGCCTTTCATCCACTTCAGCATCCCCTTCACGCCCGTGACTGCGTCCCGCGCGATTATGTTTTGCACTTCCCGCAGTTGCTGGTCGACGAGCGCGCGCAGGGCCTGGAGGTCGGCGGCGTGGGAGGCGGAGAAGAGGGAGTGGACGGAATTTGTGAGGGTGGTGAAGGATGTTTTGACTTGTTGGAGGAGGGCATTTTCAAGTTGTTTAACGCTGTCCTCCGCAATCCTCTGTGCCGATCGAGCAGATTTGTCGACCGCATCGATTGCTTCATATAACGATTTATCTGCTTTATCTACATTTAATGTGATAGCCGTAATGACGGCTGCAATGTTATCCCTCAATGCCTGCATCTTATCATCGACATCTTTCCTTTTCTTGTTTATTTCGCCTGTCGCATCATTTCTCTGGATTCTTTCAAGTGTGGCAAGTGGTGGCGACATCTCTCCCAGCTTCTTAAGAATAGAGCCGGATTTCGCTGCCTTGTTCAACAAAGGAGTCAGCGTATCAATTTCCTGCTTAACTGTCTTCAACGCCGCGTCAAGTTTCTTACCGTGGCTCTGTTTGCTGTTTTCTCCGTCCTTAAACTCCTTGCCAATAAGTTCGACTTTCTTAATTGCTTCATCTATTTCGTTGGCGATGGTGGATTTGCCATTTACCCTGGTTTTGTCCGTGGTGCCGTCAAGCCATGCACGTTCGGTGGAAGCTTTCTTTGCCCGTTCAGTCAGATGTTTAAGTATGCGGTTGAAGGCGGAATAGAGAAGGTTGTCAGCTTGTGTATCTTTCTTGGACTTAACCACCAACCCGCTGTCGCTGTCATATTCTGCAACAATTTCGGGAACTATCTTAGAGCTTTTAAATTCTGCCGATTGCATACTCTTCGTCAGCTCTTGGACGAATGAATCAATACAAGTTTTTATCTTTGTTAAATTAGTAGCGATTCCAGCTTTGTCAGAGTTTTCTACAGCAGTAACGCCTGTAATTATGCTTTGAAGCTTCGAGTCAATAACCTTTCTAATATGCTTTATAACCTTTTGTTTTATCCCACCTTGGTCCTGTTGCTGAAAATAGCCAGAGCGCTTGTTACTCAAAATATAAGCATCAATCGACAAATCCACTGTTCCTCCAGTTCTCAAAACATCATTTAACCATTCATCTACAACACTACTTTTAAACTTCTCTTTACTGAACTCCCCAGCATAATCCTTTACTTTATTCTCAATCTCACCAAGATGGCCGGATGTACCATCATAACCATAGGAAATACTCTCACAAAGCAGAGTAACCTTTGCCTTAAGAATCTTCCAATTGTACTCTATACTTTCCTCATTTTTACCTATAAGGCTAATCGTATTTTTCTTCAAGGTCTCAAAGTGTTCTTGCGTCTGCTCCACTAACTTATCAAGATCAAATTTCTTGGACAACAAGGTAGTGTAAACTCCATTGATCTGCGTTGTGACTTCATCAAGAAATCCCAAAATCTCAACTCGCGTGGTTCCGGTGGGATTTCCTAACCACTCATCAACCTTCAACTTTGCCACATCCAAAGAGTCTCTGATAACTTTGAAGTGTTCATGCCTTTGTCTATGCAAAATATTCATGTTTTTCAAAATCTTCCCAAACTCCTCATCCAACGTCACCTGCACAATATGAGTCTGCATATTGATCTTTCCTTCCAACTTGTTCTTCTGCTGCAGCAACTCATTGTCCACCTCAGTCACCATCATCTCAAGGCCGCCATCCCCAGCCACCTTCCCCAAGTGCGCCACCACCTTTTGCACGGGCTCAATTTCACGCTTTATCTTATCGCTAAGTGCGGGGTCTAAGTTAGAAACATTAGTGATTATGTTGGTGTTAATGTGTTCTTCAATCTTCTGTAGTGTAGACTTCCACTTCTCCAGCTGACCTTGAAGATTGTCGTTGACACTATCTGAAACAGATTTCATAGATTCATCAAATTTAGTGGTTTTCAACTCACCTAATTGGTCCGTGACCCTTTTAGTCAATGCTCCAACCTGCGAAGAATATTCACTGAGACATCCACTTACCTTGATAAGTTGAGGAGACAACTCCATGGAGCCTCGACCAACAGAATTCTTGAGAGATGTGGAGACTTCATCAAATTTGTGTCCTTTATTAATGTAACCATCATATTTCTTTACACTATCATCATCCTTCACAGTATGCAAAACACCATGAAGGAAAGACATCACCCCGTCGCACAGCCTGTCAAGGTCCGAGTACACGATGCCGGAGCCGGTGTAGCCTTTGGAAGTTTCTTGGTAACCAAGGAACTTCTCCAAGCCAGAGCACAGGTTAGTAAGTAACTCATGTGGATTATTTTAGGCACACTTTTAGGGTGATTTGGGGGAATTTGGGGAAAGGTAAAATAAGGCCAAGGAGGCAGTGAGGGAGGTGGGTGGACAGGGTGAGGGAGGTGAAGGGGCGAAAGAGGGCGATGAGGGAGGAAGATGGGTTGAGGTAAGACAGTTTCGGAGGTGGAGGGGAAAAGTGGAAAATGAGGGTTTGGGTGAAGGACGCCGACGGAGGAGGTGATGAAGGGGTGATGGAGGAGGGAGCGAAGCGACCAGTGGAAGGGGAGGTGGGTGGTTGAGTGGGTGGTTGAGTGGGTGGGTGAGTGAGTGAGTGAGTGAGTGATTAGGTGAGTGGGTGGTTGAGTGGGTGGTTGAGTGGGTGAGTGGGTGAGTGAGTGAGTGAGTGAGTGATTAGGTGAGTGGGTGGTTGAGTGGGTGAGTGAGTGGTTGGTTGAGTGATTAGGTGGGTGAGTGGTTGAGTGAGTGAGTGAGTGGGTGGTTGAGTGGGTGGGTGAGTGGGTGATACACAGATCTCACGTGAAGGCACGATTATGGTGAGAAGTACTTGACGTTGGCGAGTGCCTTGACGCGCGCGGCGGCGAGGAGGGACTGCGCGGCGATGCGGTGGCTTGAGGGTGATCTCAGGTGGGAGCGTATCCTCAGGACGTCGAGGCGGACGACGGCGATGTGCAGCAGGTAGAGGAGCGAGAGCGACCAGAGGGCTAACAAGAGGCCTGTGCAGAAGTTGATTAATAATGTTGTTAAAGGACTATTTTAGGCACATTTTCAGAGCGATTTGGGAGATTTTGGAGAAAGGCGATTTTAGGTCAAGGAGGCAGCGAGGGAGGTGGGTGGACGAGGCGAGGGAGGTGAAGGGGCGAGAGAGGGCGATGGAGGAGGAAGATGGGTTGAGGTAAAACGGTATTGGAGGTGGAGGGGAAAGTGGAAAATGAGGATTTGGGTGAAGGACGCCGACGGAGGAGGTGAGGGAGGAGGGAGGAGGGGGGAGCGAAGCGACCAGTGAAAGAGGGGGGTGAGTGAGTGAGTGATTAGGTGGTTGAGTAGGTGGGTGGTTGAGTGGGTGGGTGGGTGCGTGAGTGGGTGATTAGGTGAGTGAATGAGTGGGTGGGTGAGTATGTGAGTGGGTGGGTGAGTATGTGGTTGAGTGGTTGAGTGGTTGAGTGGGTGAGTGAGTGGGTGGTTGAGTGGTTGAGTGGGTGAGTGATACACAGATCACACGTGAAGGCACGATTACGGTGAGAAGTACTTGACGTTGGCGAGCGCCCTGACGCGTGCGGCGGCGAGGAGCGACTGCGCGGCGATGCGGTGGCTTGAGGGTGATCTCAGGTGGGAGCGTATCCTCAGGACGTCGAGGCGGACGACGGCGATGTGCAGCAGGTACAGGAGCGAGAGCGACCAGAGGGCTAGCAAGGTCCATATGAAAGGTGCGCGAATTGTGAACATGAAGTTGTCAATGATTTCAAATAGAGTTTTGAAATAATGCGATTGTATAACGCTCTTCAAATGTTTTGCAAAGGTGGCGCACGTCCTTCGTGTATTCAGTGCATTGATTGCAATGGCATCGCCAAACATGAACCCACATTTATACAGTGTTGGCGTCACACCTTTACATGTCACAAGTGATTTGCAGTGACAAGGAGTCTCGAAACTTCCATGACTCCCTGGTGTACAGGCTCCGTGATGTAGACAGCGACGACATCCCCATTCCCTGCAGAAAATATTTCTGAAGGCATCATATAAAGACAGAAGATACCTCCAGAAATCCCATGGCAAGTAAACCGCCCATGATAAATAGGTGTTAGAATGTTTGTTGGCAAGGTGGTGATAGGCATCACTATAAAGACTCGAAAGGTAGGGAGCGCATTCTATCCTTTTTATGTTGCTGTTGCAGAAGTCAGTAATTGTGAGATTCATCAAATGAGGATGTTGGCATTCGGAATGCCTTACAGAGTCAGATCCATATGCGTTGGCAAGGGCATTTGTAAAGCGATCCGCATTTTCGAACAGCTTGATGGATGTGTTAGTGATAGATGACTCAAATGACGCTTGAAGGGTGAATTTGTTCATGGTGGCTTTCTTAGATTGGGAACTATGAAGCCAGCCCTTAACTAAATACAACGCAAAACCAAAATGCTCTGGCAATGTAGACGGTGGCTTAGGCGATAGGCAGAACACGGCAGATATATTGTTAGTTTCAAACAAGTCACCAAGTATGTCGCATATGTCTTTACCCGTTTTAATACTGCCAGAAAATTCCCTGAATCCCAGAGGTGTCAAGCAAGGCATTCCGGGTGTACTACCAGGGCACGATTTACATACAGACTTGCAGCCAACCGAGTTGAGTTGGTGCGGCAAGTGACCGGGTAAGGTATCATTTAGGTAGCTCATAAGTGGTGATCTAGGTTGGCACGTTGGTTGGTCATTTGGATGACCATTTGGTTGGCACATAGGTTTAGACGTTGACTGTCCATTTGCCTTGTCGGTTGAATGCGCTTTGCAGGGCTGATTGACTGTAGTAATGTCCCTGCCGTACTGGCACTTCAACCAACCATGCTCAGACGCCGGGTTACTACATTGACCAAACAAAAATCTAAGTGGAGGGAATAGTTTACGGAGGATATCGAGCAAGAGTTGAAAGCATTCCTCACCTCTTGTGGGATATTTGAATTTGAGGGAGTTAGTAGAGAACTCACAGGCGTATGTCGTATAGGCGTCTCCGTGGCCCGCAATAGTAGTGAGGACAGGGTAGGATTTAAAACATATCTCTTCAATAGTTGTACAAATGTCGCTGGCGCTAATGGTGGACGGTGAGGCATCGATAGGCTTAAGGGTTTTTTTCGATGGGTCTCCATCAATGGGCACCATGAATAATTCGTTAACGTGATCTAAAAGTGGTTTGAATACGGGACTGAACTGTAAACCGCAAACCCAAAGTAACATTTCATAAACGGAGCACGGTATCCTGGGTGATTTAATATGCGTATAATGGCATACATTGAAGTATTTCTTAAGGTAATCATATAGGCTTGGGATGACACCGTTCTCGCCCGTGTATTCGAAGGGTATGTCATCGGATGTAGGAGCGATGGCAGATGCTTTAAGTGACTGTTTATTAGTCACAAACAAATTATGAGTTGTGTCGTTGAGTTTGGTAAGAATATTCTGACCCGTGAACCCAGACTTGTGATTCAGTTCGCCGTGCTCCACTTTACCGGCAAGGCCGGTATCGTAACCATTATCATTAAAGAATAGTCTATGTAAGCTATGGTGGGACTCTTTGGAATCATATATGTTATAAGAGTTCCATTTGCCGTCTGATTCATGAAGCTCTCTTCTGAGCTGTGTTAAGGTGTGATATACGGTGGGCACAATGGTGAGCACAATTTTCGCGCACTTTGTACCATCAGAGGTTATGCTCTTAGTTATGTCGTTATATATTGTGATAATCTCACTATCGTACACTGATACATACGCCTTATCTAGCTCCCCGTGCATATCTGTTATGCCTCCTTTGAGGAACTGCAGCAGCGGGTTGCTTTGGTTGGCGTATGATTCGGGATGCATATCGGTGAGTAAAGTGTTAAGTGCGGATAAGTCATTAACGAATTTAGTGTTGTATTTGGTGAGGTCAGTGAAAAGAGTGTCTAGTTTGCTTCGTAGCTTCGAGAGGTTATTAGAGTCCATGATTTGAGGCCGCATGTTCAGCGTCTTGAACAGCTCAGTGAAGAATACTTTTGCCCTGCTGGACAGTGTCTCTAATTTTGCGTCGCCATCCAATTCGCTGTTCAATTTACTGTCCGTCAATTTCTGCTCGAGCACTCCCATGAAGCCTTTAAAGCCCTTGTCGGCATCTTTTGTTATGTCTTTTGGGAGCGTTCCGATTTCCTTTTCTACTTTCTCGGCGAACTTTGTGAGCTGCGACTTGATGAATTTGACGTAGCGGGATTTCAGGTCGTTGGTGATGGATGTTTTGGCGGCGTCAAGTGTATCCCTGACGTGTTGTTCGAGTGCCTCGATGGTTTTTTGGCTTGCGGCGGAGGCTTGTTGTTCGAAGTCCTTCGCCATTTTTATGGCTTTCCCTAATTCCCTAGTTCGGAGGTCGCCAAGTTTGCCGTGGAGATTTTGGAGACTGCCGACAACTTCCAGTGGACTTTTGCCGATGTCCATTTTATGTTTATCCAATTGCTCCTTAAGAATTTTACCAGCTTGTTCGAAAGCATACACGAGGCCTTTGACGTGCTTCTCGATCTGGTCGGACCATTCTTTGAGATTATTTATGGTCGGCGTAACGCTGAATATGTTATCGGAGTAGTGGGTGATAGCTTTGAGGGAATCGCTGACCGCACTGTCTCTGTGCGTCTTATATAACGGCAAGGTCTGCTCGACGTCGATGTCTTGGATACCGCCATTCGGCATTTTTTTAAAAGTCACCGTTCCAATATTGGTTTTCAGTTCTTCTAGTTTCGTATTAATTTTACCATCAAACTCACCTACTAGCTTCTGGAGGCCGGAGACTGTCACGCCAAATTCACCGGTGCCTCCATTACTACCAGCAAGGTCGGAACATTTTCCGGCCTTTTCGTATATAGCCCCCGCTACCTCTCCCAGCTCTTCAGTTAGCTGGTCCTTAATCTTATTCATGACCGCCCCAACAACCTGGTGGGAGTGCTGGGATGCAGTATGAGCAACTTCCCGTAAGACGTTGAGGAGATTCTTAATATCTCCTTTTTCCAATTTTTCACTACCTCCATTGAGTTTTTTTGCTACACGTTGAACGTGGGAGTCATACCTTTTGAGATCGGGCGCCTTTATGTCAACACCGAGAAGTGTGTTAAGAGCATTTAATTCGGTGGATGGAAGTGTACCATTAACAAATTTCTGCACATCTTGAATTTTCTTTCTAAGTTCCTCTTTAACACTTGAAAATGCACTCTCCATCTCATCTCTGCCGACCTTAACAAGATTTCCTAACCCGGTTGCAATCTTCTCTATCGCATCCTTTACAGGCGTCATGACATCGGTGTCAAGTTTGCCAAAATAATCTTTAATAGATTTAAAAGGGTCTTCAGTTCCGCCGATTGCTTTCAGTAATTTTGCCGTAACACTGCTACCTTTTCCATTTTGAATCCCGTCAATTTTCGAAAGATCCTGTAGCTTCTCGATATCTCCTTCCACTGCCTTAATGGCTTTGTCGATCGCATTTTTTGTATTTTCAAATGACGTTTTGAAGTTTGCCGAACTCATTTTAAGAGTGCTGAGGGGTTCATAAATCTCCCTCTCCATCCTCCCCAAATCCTCTTTAAGCTGAGCATTCAAACCATCAACGGCCTCTGTAGCTTCCCGTATCAACCTTGTAAAGTCCGGCTTCACTGTATTATTTATATAATCTTCCAGTGTCTTCTTCCATGTGCACAGATCCTTTCCAATTTGTTCTAATGCCTTTTGATTTGGCAAACCGGGCTCTTTTTGCTCAATTCGACCGGCTTCACCTATGGCATTTTGAACGCTTTTATCAGCGTTGTCAATCCATTTCTGCAGCTTCTCCATCCACTGCTCGAGCAACTCATTTACGACGCGAAGCTGGTCCCCGATGCTCTGAACCTTACACGTTAAGTCGTCCGAGAGCTTTTTCACATCTGTCTGAATCTGCGTATTAATTTGCTCTCTAGCATTATCTAACTTACTACCAACTAAGGCAATATGTTCATCCTTATCTTTCTGCAGCGTCTTATGAATTTCATGAAGCCTCTTACGCTCATCGACAAGAATATCTTTAGCATTATTAACTTTTTGTTTTAAGTGTTCAGATAAATCATCTACGTGTTTCTTGGCATGTGAAATGTTTTTGATAAAGTTATAGGCATAGCCACCATCTTTCTTAATACACTCGTCCACCTTCTGGTCGACGGCCTCCACAGCCTTGTCAATTTCACCTGTATGAAAATTATTTTCTGAGATTCCACTCACCTGCCTTTGGAGATCATTCATTTTGCTAATGAAAGTAATCATCGGTCCACTCACCTTATTGTTCCCCTCCCTCACACCCTCATTATACTGCCTCACCCGCTCCACCACCTTGACAATCGCAGCATTAAAACCTTCTTTACCAGAGTGTTTATGGGTGTTAAGAGACTCAATTGCAGGCTTTATAAGCTCTTTATGCTGGCCTAATTTAGGCTGAATGTTACTTAAAACTCCATGAAGGAAAGACATCACCCCGTCGCAGAGCCTGTCAAGGTCCGAGTACACGATGCCCTCGCCGGTGTAGCCTTTGGAGTCTTTATTGTAACCAAGAAAATTCTCTAAACCATCAATGAGATTTTCTAAGAGTTTTTTACATTGTTCAGCATTTGGAGAATCTTTTTCTCCAATAAGAGCCCGAAGTTTTTTTGTAAGATCTTCAAGATTACTCTGCCTCTCCTTAATATCATCCAAGGCTTTTCCCCTGGCATCCTCAGTAAGGTAATGAACGTCATTATAATGGTCATTATACTGGGATTAAAGGTGGATTAAGGGAGAGTTAAAAGAAGTAAAAAGGGGATGAAATGGCACATTTTCAGGGCGGTTTGGGGGAATTTGGAGAAAGGTCAAATTAGGTCAAGGAGGCAGAGAGGCAGCGAGGGAGGCGGGTGGACAGGGCGAGGGAGGTGGAGGGGCGAGAGAGGGCGATGAAGGAGGAAGATAGGTGGAGGTGAGGGGATTTAAGGGGTGGAGGGGAAAGGTGGAAAATGAGTGAGTAGGTGAAGGACGCCGACGGAGGAGGTGATGGAGGGGGTGGAGGAGGGAGCGAAGCGACCGGTGAAAGAGGAGGTGAGTGGGTGAGTGGTTGAGTGAGTGAGTGATTAGGTGAGTGAGTGGTTGAGTGGGTGGGTGGGTGATTAGGTGGTTGAGTGGGTGGGTGGTTGAGTGGGTGGGTGAGTGAGTGATTGAGTGGGTGAGTGGGTGAGTGAGGTGAGTGGGTGAGTGAGTGGGTGAGTGAGGTGAGTGGGTGAGTGAGTGGGTGGTTGAGTGGTTGGTTGAGTGAGTGGGTGAGTGAGGTGAGTGGGTGAGTGAGTGGGTGGTTGAGTGGGTGGGTGGTTGAGTGGGTGGGTGAGTGAGTGATTGAGTGGGTGAGTGGGTGAGTGAGGTGAGTGGGTGAGTGAGTGGGTGAGTGAGGTGAGTGGGTGAGTGAGTGGGTGGTTGAGTGGTTGGTTGAGTGGGTGGATGAGTGGGTGAGTAGGTGAGTATGTGGGTGAGTGGGTGGGTGGGTGGTTGAGTGGTTGAGTGGTTGAGTGGTTGAGTGGTTGAGTGGTTGAGTGGGTGAGTGGTTGAGTGGTTGAGTGGGTGAGTGGGTGAGTTGGTGAGTGGGTGGGTGAGTGGTTGAGTGGGTGAGTGGTTGAGTGAGTTGTGGTTGAGTGGGTGGTTAGGTGAGTATGTGGTTGAGTGGTTGAGTGAGTGGTTGAGTGGTTGAGTGAGTTGGTGGTTGAGTGGGTGAGTGAGTGGGTGTGTGAGTGAGTGGATGGGTGGTTGAGTGGGTGAGTGGATGGGTGGTTGAGTGGGTGAGTGGTTGATTGGGTGAGTGGTTGAGTGGGTGAGTGGTTGAGTGGGTGGGTGAGTGTGTGGGTGGTTGAGTGGTTGAGTGAGTGGTTGAGTGGGTGAGTGGGTGAGTAGGTGAGTGGTTAGTGGGTGAGTGGGTGAGTATGTGAGTATGTGAGTGGTTGAGTGGTTGAGTGGGTGGTTGAGTGGGTGGTTGAGTGAGTGGGTGGGTGAGTGAGTGAGTGGGTGGGTGGGTGGTTGAGTGGTTGAGTGGTTGAGTGGTTGAGTGGTTGAGTGGTTGAGTGGGTGAGTGGTTGAGTGGTTGAGTGGGTGAGTGGGTGGGTGAGTGGTTGAGTGGGTGAGTGGTTGAGTGAGTTGTGGTTGAGTGGGTGGTTAGGTGAGTATGTGGTTGAGTGGTTGAGTGAGTGGTTGAGTGGTTGAGTGAGTTGGTGGTTGAGTGGATGAGTGGGTGAGTAGGTGAGTATGTGGGTGAGTGGGTGGGTGGGTGGTTGGGTGGGTGAGTGAGTGAGTGGGTGGGTGTGTGAGTGGTTGAGTGTGGGAGTGAGTGAGTGGGTGAGTGGTTGAGTGGTTGAGTGGGTGGTTGAGTGGGTGGTTGAGTGAGTGGGTGGGTGAGTGAGTGAGTGGGTGGGTGGGTGGTTGAGTGGTTGAGTGGTTGAGTGGTTGAGTGGTTGAGTGGTTGAGTGGTTGAGTATGTGAGTGAGTGGGTGAGTGGGTGAGTGGGTGAGTGATACACAGATCACACGTGAAGGCACGATTATGGTGAGAAGTACTTGACGTTGGCGAGTGCCTTGACGCGTGCGGCGGCGAGGAGCGACTGTGCGGCGATGCGGTGCGATGAGGGCGATCGCAGGTGGGAGCGTATCCTCAGCACGTCGAGGCGGACGACGGCGATGTGCAGCAGGTACAGGAGCGACAGCGACCAGAGGGCTAACAACGTTAACACAAAAGGCCATCTGATTTCTTTTAGGAAATTGTCGCACTCCTCGAACAGCTTCGTGAAATATGCTGATTCGACAACACTCTTTAACTCGTCGTAGAAATTGGAGCATGTTTTTCGTGTGCCCTCTTCATGTAACGTCCATGCATCAGGGATGATAAATCCGTAGCTGTAAAACGTTGGCGCGACACCTTTGCATTTTGCAATGGAATTGCACTGGCAATGAGGCTTTGCATCCTCATTCTCTTTCTTTTCGCTGAGTCCATGCTTGCCACGCCTGCAATTGGCGCTCTTTAAACATGAGCGGCATCCCCAGTCCTCGCAGAATATGGTATTGAATGCTTCGAGTAATTCACGCAAATAATTATGGAATGACCATGGCAGGTAAATTGCCCACGACAGATACAACTTGCCGTGTTTCTCCGCCATGTAGCGATATACAGCCGAGGAGAGTGACGATAGGTAAGGGGCGCAGGCAACGTCTTTACCTCTACTACCACAGTAACTTGAGGATGTAAGATTGGCGATGTGCGGATGCTCACATTTGCTGCAATCAGCGCCGTATGCGTCAGTAAGCGCATCTGTAAGGTTGCTTGGGTCGTCACATAGTGCGATGGACATGTCGATGATTGATGATTCAACTGACTGTTTGATCAGGCTTTTGGTTGGTGTTTTGGTTTTATGCCAACCTTTAACTAAGGACAGCGTGAAACTGAAGTGTTCAGGCAATGTGAACGGCGGCTTAGGAACGAGGCTAAATAGGGCTGGAATGTACTCGTTACCTAGGAATTCTCTAATGATGTCGCAAATGTCACGGCCGGTTTTGACACTGCCTGAGAACGCTCTGAAGCCAAGGGGCGTCATACAGGGTACACCAGGTCCGCTCTTGGTACACGTCGAACATATAGATTTACATCCCACCGATTGCAATTGGTGAGGCAAATGGCCAGGCAAACAATCATTTAAGTAAGACATTAAAGGTGAAGTTGGCTGACACGTTGGTTGACAATTTGGTTGGCACGTAGGTTGGCACTTTGATCGGCACTTTGATTCGCACGTTGATTGGTCAGTTGGATGTTCGTTACACGGCTGTTTGGCCGAAGGGACGTCTTTACCATACAGGCAATCGCCCCAACCAAAGTCTGTTGCTGGCTGACTGCACTTGCTCTCTAGGAACTGGAGAGCTGGGAATATTCTGCGTAGTATATCTAGTAACGTATGTAAACAGTCCTCACCTCTGGAGGGATATTGTAATCTGACGAAGTTGGTAGAGAAGTCAGATGCATACTTGCACTCAGCGTCGCCGGTGCCGAGTACGGCAGTCAGCAGTTGGTAGGAGCGCGACGTTATATGGTCAATCGCAGAAATAACGTTATCACGGGATATGGGTTTAGGATGGGCAGCAATTGGGACTGGAATTTTGTGTTCAGGATTGCGCTCATCCGGCTTTTTCTCAAACAATGAATCACAGTGTTCACGAAGCTTATCATACACACCGTTGAACTGTAAACCGGAACACCATAACAACATCTCATAAACATTACACGGTGTTCTGGGTTTGTCAATGTAAGTGGTGTGACAAATATTGAAGTATAATTTAAGGTAGTGATGAAGCTGAGACAACACGCCGTTCTCCTCGGTGAATTCGAAGGTAGGCTCACCTGAGATAGCGCCGGTAGCGGAGGATGAAGGAAGACTAAAAAGTTTATAGTTGTCGTTGACAAGATGCTTATAGATCTGTTGACCAGTGAAATCTTTTTTGTGATTCAATTCGCCATATTCGGCGTCGTCAGGGAGATCAGAGTCATACCCGTTTTCACGGAGGAACCGGCTATGTAAGCTGTGATTAGGGTTCTTAGCGTTATATATGGTATACGTCTTCCGCTTACTATTTGATTTTTCGAGCCATTTTTTGAGCTCAGTCAAAGCGGTAAATAATGCGGGCACAATGCTGAGACAGACTTTGGCGCACATCCCCTTTTCGGGATTGTGTTCGCCATCCCAGTCTATATTTGCGTCATCGTATACGGATACGTAGGCATTCTTAAGTTGTTCGACCAAATCCGAGAAGCCATTTCGCAGAGCGTTGAGTAGCAAAGGGCTCTTGGCTTCGCCGTACGTGGAGGGCTTGAAAGCGGCGACAGCACTGTGGAGTTCATGTAAATTTTTGGTAAATTCATGGTCGAAGTGATTAGATGTGTTTAGGTCGGTAAGCAATTTGGTCAACACTCCGTGCACGGGATTGATTTTCGTGATGTCCGAGGTGAAGTCTGGCTGTTTCTGCAGGTGTTGCAAGAAGCGTCTGAAGGCGGTGGCTAGCTTTATTGCCGCCTGGCTGAGCGGAGATTTTTCTCCGGGAGCGTGAGTAATCTTAATGCTTTTGATGGACTCAATTGACTTCTCATATTTGATGAAATGTTCTTCAAATTTGGCCATGAAGCCCTTATGACCAATCTCCAAATCACCGGCAATTTCTCTCGGCAGACCATGCAAATCCTTTCCCAGTTTGTCGGAGAATGCGGTGAGCAACGCTTTGAGGGAATTAACGTACTGCTTCTGGGCGTGGTGGATAAGTTTCTCTTCAGCGCTCTTACACTCAGTTTCAACGCCTTCTTTGAGAATACTGATGGTTTGTCGTTCGGCTGTGGTGATGAAGGAGAGTAATTCTGTCGTCTTTTTAATTGGCTCCTTCACAAGAGTGTCCTGCAGAGCCTCCAGATCTTTTTTAATTTTCGTTAAACCCTTCTGCTTATGGTTTTTACCGTTAATGGTGACTTCAACTTCTGAATCATTATTAATCAATTTTTGCAGTTCATCGATTTTTGCCTTGATGCTTTCTTTGTAGCTACCAACGTTCTCTTTCCCAGCAGCCTCCCGAATTGCATGGCAGAGATTACCAAGCGCGTTGGTGAGATTACCGAAGTTTTCTGCAGCTTGGCCAGTGAAGTCGCCGATATTTGTTAACGCACCCTCCACCTCCTCCTTTATTTTCCTGATCGCGTTTGGAAGGGCGCCTGCAAGGTTCTCCGCTTCAGTAAGCTTACTTGGGTCTTGGTCGACTTGCAGTTTGTATTGTGTGAAGTTTTTAGCAGAAAGTTCGAATTTACCCGTTGCGCCACCTCCATCCTCCTGGCCGACCTCTTTCTTCAAAATCTCGCTAATGGTCTTTTGGATGTTGTGCTTAAGCTGGACTGTTTGCTTGTGGGCGGTACCGTAGGGGTCGTAGGCATTGGCTGTTTCGTAGAGATCGCTGCCATCGCTGGATTTAAGAAGTGCCGTTTTAAAAGCAGTGTCCATATCGGTAGCCACTTTGAGCGCGGCGTCGATGTTCTTTGTATTGCCCTTCGCAGTGCCTTCGGCGATGAACCACCCGAGGTCGGCGGCAGTCTGCCTGGCTTTGGCAACAAGCTGATTGAGGGCGTATTTGACGCCATTGGTAAGAAGCATGATGGGACTGGATTTCTTATCAGGCATTACAATATCCTCAGCACTCTGAATAGCCGTAGCTATTTTTTTAGCAAGCGCTTCTGCTTGTCCACTCTCCTTAAGTTCGGCACCAAGTAGCGTCGTGAATGTCTGGCAACCACTCTGAACGGCGGTTACATATGTTTGAATTTTGTTTTCGCCGTCTCCCCGGATTATTTCTTGGACCCTCTGGCCGGCTTTGTCAATAAAACCGCTGACAAGTTCCTTTTTAAAAACGTCTGCAACTAGATTTATTTTGGCTGGCAGTTCAATGTTAACATACGTTTTGAATAGATTTTTCACAATCTCATTGTCTCTCAAAATCTCCTCCACCCACTCCTTCACTTTTTCTCCAAATGCTTTGTCTCCCTTAAACTCCTCAGCCCACTTCCGCACTTCAGTTTCAATTTTTTGCAGACCTTCAGTTCCTTTCTCCCCCTTTATCTCCTTAACCTTCGTTTGCACTAAGCCAACATACCCCTGAAAGTACTTCCCAATAACAGTAAGAAGCTGCGCTTTTGCGTCATTCAATCCGAACTTAACCGCCGCGTCCATCGCTTTCACGGCCTCGAGGGCTGTTTTAACCTTTTCGGCGACTTGCTTTTTAGCTTCCTCTCCAGCGTTGTAAAGCAAATCGGCCTGAAGTCTCATAAGCTCCGCCGCCTCGCTGATGAGTCTGGGTTTTTTAGTTCCATCGCCGTCACTGACTTCATTCAATATTTCAGTGACCTTTTTTACCGCTTTCTCTAATATTCCATTCGACTTAGCGATCCACTCTCCAAGATCATATATATAGTTCCGCAGCTTCTTGTCTATGCCCTGAAGCATTTTAGAAATTTCCTCAACTCTCACCCTCAACTTGCTGATTAAATCCTTCACCTGCTTACTTATCTTGCTATCTACGTTACATTTCAATTCGCCAAGCACTCTTTTAATTTCCTTTTCCGTCTCCTTCAACTCCTCTTTCTCCTGTTCTGAAAACTTGTGCAAACGCCCACGTTCATGTTTTACGTTCTTACGAACATTCTCAATTTTGTCCTGCAAATTAGGATTTAAGTCCTTAATCGCGTTGTTAAGTGGATTATCGCTACGTGAAGTGTCTAAGTTATCAGTGAATTTGTCTGCCTTTCGGAGGCATTCCTCCACCGTTTCATTGGCGGCCTTTATAAGGTTAAGAATCTTATTGGCATCCTCTGCGTTTTTTGAAGGCAGTGATTTTTCTAGCCTTTCACTGCTGTACGCACTTGCATCTCTAAGCATTGTTTCAATCGGCTCACTAACACTCTTATTCGACGCTGCCACACTCACATTATATGCACGTACACCCTTAACCACCGCGGCTATCGCCGCTCTGTATTTAGTAATACCATTAAGATTTGTGTCTTTAAGTGACGTAAGTGCGCTAGTTAAATGTGTTTTATGCTGGCCTAATTTAGGCTTAATGCTATCTAAAACACCATGAAGGAACGCCATCACCCCGTCGCACAGCCTGTCAAGGTCCGAGTACACAATGCCTTCTCCGGTGTAATTACCATTACTGTGGCCGAGAAATTTTTCGAGGCCTGTGCAGAGGTTATTTAATAATGATGTTGTAGGATTATTTTAGGCACATTTTAAGGGCGATTTGGGGAAATTTAGGGAAAGGCGATTCTAGGTCAAGGAGGCAGTGAGGCAGTGAGGGAGGTGGGTGGACAGGGTGAGGGAGGTGAAGGGGCGAAAGAGGGCGATGAAGGGGGAAGATGGGTTGAGGTAAGTGGATTTTAGGGGTGGAGGGGGAAGGTGGAAAATGAGTGTTTGGGTGAAGGACGCCGACGGAGGAGGTGATGGAGGGGGTGATGGAGAGGGAGCGAAGCGACCAGTGAAGGAGGAGGTGGTTGAGTGGGTGATTAGGTGGGTGGTTGAGTGGGTGAGTGGGTGGTTGAGTGGGTGAGGTGGTGGTTGAGTGAGTGGTTGAGTAGGTGAGTGGGTGGGTGAGTGAGTGTGTGGTTGAGTGAGTGTGTGGTTGAGTATGTGGTTGAGTGGTTGAGTGGTTGAGTGGTTGAGTGGTTGAGTGGTTGAGTGGTTGAGTGGGTGGGTGGTTGAGTGGTTGAGTGGGTGAGTGGTTGAGTGGGTGAGTGGTTGAGTGGGTGGGTGGGTGAGTGGGTGAGTGGTTGAGTGGGTGGTTGAGTGGGTGAGTGAGTGGTTGAGTGGGTGAGTATGTGGTTGAGTGGGTGAGTATGTGGTTGAGTGGGTGGGTGAGTGGTTGAGTGAGTGGTTAGGTGGGTGGGTGGGTGGTTGAGTGGTTGAGTGGTTGAGTGGTTGAGTGAGTGGGTGGGTGGTTCAGTGAGTGGGAGAGTGGGTGTGTGAATGAGTAAGTGGGTGAGTGGTTAAGTGAGTGGGTGGTTGAGTGAGTGGGTGAGTGGTTGAGTGGGTGGTTGAGTGATTGAGTGGGTGAGTGAGTGAGTGAGTATGTGAGTGTGTGGTTGAGTGGTTGAGTGGGTGAGTGTGTGAGTGAGTATGTGAGTGTGTGGTTGAGTGGTTGAGTGGGTGAGTGAGTGGTTGAGTGGTTGAGTGAGTGGGTGGGTGAGTGGTTGAGTGTGTGAGTGAGTGAGTGAGAGGGTGAGTGGGTGGGTGGTTGAGTGGGTGAGTGGGTGGGTGGTTGAGTATGTGAGTGGGTGGTGAGTGGGTGAGTGAGTGGGTGAGTGGGTGATTAGGTGAGTGATGCACAGATCACACGTGAAGGCACGATTATGGTGAGAAGTACTTGATGTTGGCGAGTGCCTTGAGGCGTGCGGCGGCGAGGAGGGACTGGGCGGCGATGCGGTGGCTTGAGGGTGATTTCAGGTGGGAGCGTATCCTCAGGACGTCGAGGCGGAGGACGGCGATGTGCAGCAGGTACAGGAGCGACAGCGACCAGAGGGCTAATAAGAGGAAAGTGAAGAAGTTGAGAAACGTTGAAGGATTATTAAGGACATTTTAAGGGCGATTTGGGGAAATTTGGGGAAAGCTCAAATTAGGGTGAGGAGGCAGCGACGGAGGTGGGTGGACAGGGTGAGGGAGGTGAAGGGGCGAAAGAGGGCGATGAAGGATGAAGATGGGTTGAGGTAAGGGGATTTTAGGGGTGGAGGGGGAAGGCGGAAAATGAGGATTTGGGTGAAGGACGCCGACGGAGGAGGTGATGGAAGGAGGAGGGAGGCAGGGAGCGAAGCGACCAGTGAAGGAGCGAGGTGAGTGAGTGAGTGGGTGGGTGGTTGAGTGAGTGGGTGAGTGAGTGGTTGAGTGGGTGGTTGAGTGGGTGGGTGAGTGGGTGAGTGGGTGGTTGAGTGGGTGGTTGAGTGGGTGAGTGGGTGATTAGGTGGTTGAGTGGGTGGGTGGGTGGTGTGAGTGGGTGAGTGGGTGTTGAGTGGTGGTTGAGTGGGTGAGTGGGTGATTAGGTGGTTGAGTGGGTGGTTGAGTGGGTGAGTGAGTGAGTGGGTGAGAGGGTGGTTGAGTGGTTGAGTGGTTGAGTGGTTGAGTGGTTGGGTGAGTGATACACTGATCACACGTGAAGGCACGATTACGGTGAGAAGTACTTGACGTTGGCAATTTTCCCAACCCTTGCCTACGGCGAGTAGTGACTGCGCGGCGATGCGGTGGCTTGAGGGTGATCTCAGGTGGGAGCGTATCCTCAGGACGTCGAGGCGGACGACGGCGATGTGCAGCAGGTAAGCAAAGAGAGGGACCAGAGGGCAAGCAAAGGTATGAGAATTCTTCCTGATTTCCCATAAGAATTGTGGTATTTTGTTAACAACCATGTCCGCAAGTACCGATCGTCCATGACATACTGTTTCCAATATTTTGCATAAATCGTTACACGTGCGTTTCAGTGACGCACCTTCTATACCGCTTAGCTTAGATGGGTTTTCTATTGTGAAGCCATAACTACATAAAGTGGGAAGCGTAGT